GTGGGGGGGGGGAGTCCTCTGGGAGATACAATCGTGTCCCAAAATACAGGCTGGGTCTTGGGCACCGGGGGATTCCTGGTCTCTGGCCAATTCTTTTGGGCCCCAAACCATCCACACCACGCTTCCACCCAGCCTTGGGGTGTTGGGGAGGCTTTGAGAGGAGGGGGGTTGTCCTGAGGAGCCCCATTTCATGTGGCCTCCTGAGCACATGGGGAAGAGATCCCGCTGTTTGGTTCTCAAGCTGGCCACAAGGATTTGTTGACCCACCTTGGCCACTCGCCTTTGCTCTTCGCCTCTGGCGACCACACGAGCGATCTGCCTCCCCCTCCTTTGTGGCCTCCCAAGGCCCCCCCAGCATCTGGCACTCGTGCCTCCTCCCTGCCTCCAGTCTTTGCACCCTCCCTCCCTCCTTCCCTCCCTCTTTTCTTGCTTCTCCTCAGCGCTTCTGCCTGAATTGACGTGGCAAAACTTACTTGCCTCAAAGGAGGAGCTTGTCAATCGCCGAGAAGGTCAGAGTTCGAGAAGAACCGAGCCGTCTGGTGGATAAGGTTGGTGGGAGGGGGAGAGGAAGCCTCCATACCTTGGATGGAGGCTTGAAGGATGTCATCCTCCCCTTTTGGTGCATAGCTTCCATGTAGCGATTCCAGATGTTCCTTGGGCCATGCACTCTGCTTCCTCTCTGATGCTGTCAGGGATAAAGAGGGCTTTATGCGTGATGCACAGACTCACCAACACACGCCAGAGAGAGAGAGAGGCCAGAAGGGGAGAAGGAGAGTGCGCCAATCAGCCAAAACGGAAAAGAAACCAAATAAATAGCGAGTCTGGAAAGATGCCGGTGACTCCCTTGCCCTCCGCCGGGGACTGCTGGCTGGCTTCGTCCTGACATTCTTTCTTAACGCTCCTTGACTTTGGAGGAGGTGGGATGGAAGATGTTTAGCATATTTAAGCACGCTGTAGGATTTGTTAGGAAGGAAAGGAAGAAAGAGCGTGAAGCAGACGAGGCCAATCAGTTCAGAAAGATAGATCTGTCCCCATGCGCCTCAGCAAGGTCGATGTGCCTCAACGTTGGTCGCTCTGGGACCGTACATTAGCAACATCGGGGAGTCTACAAGTGTCCCACCCCGGTGAATATTTTGCGAGGAGGACCTTCCAGCAGACGGATAACCTTCCACAGCTTTCTTCATTGAACTTCCTGATAGTTTTTCATTAACTCATCAGAAGGAAGACGCACAACAGGAGAACATTGTAACTCACATCTTCTCCTTATGCCCTTGGAAAGTCCAGCAACCAGATGAGAACTTTCTTTCTCAGATAAGAACTTTCTTTTTCCTCCCCAAACGGAAAGACATCAGATGCAAAATGGGAGCGGGCGAGGCATGTCCACCCAGGACTCCAGGACACTTAGAAGCCTTCTCTTTGGCAGGCCCCACAGTTGGGTTGGCCATCTGCAAGATGGCCAGCAGGAAAAGGGTCTGGCTCGCCTTCCCACAGGCATCTTGTCTGTTCTGGGCTAGGAACAGGTCCAGCATGCCAGTAGACACATTTTACTAGCAGATTCAGGGTCATACGTTCACCGGCTCTTCTTACTGCAGAGAGGGCAAGGGGAAGAAAACCAGCCCGTTCTGAACAAACTAGCATCCAAGAATGAGATGGGCGGACATGGGGTTGTTTTTTTTAATGCTGTCATTCTGTTTCGCAACCTCCCATAAATTAGGGAGGAGGCAAAGTTGTCTTTTTCTCTTCCTCCTCTCCTTGCCAGGCCATCCTTAGGCCGTAGAGTCACCCAGTCTCTTTTGTGGAATTTTACAGCGGGTCCAGAGAAGCCACAACATCTCCTTTGATGCAGGCTTCCTCGGGAGTCAGATGCTCCGGCTAGACTTCCAGAAAGGGAAATCGGGGAGCTTGGGATCCCGTGACTCTTTCTACCCTGGTTTAGCAGCTTTTCAAAAGACAAACGAAGGTCCGTATCCTTACTACGTTCAGGTCTTGACTCTCCCACCAGCGCCTTCTGGAGACTGCAGCTAACGTCTTCTTAACTTGGCCTCTTTCTGCAATTTGTCAATAGTGGGAGGACGCCTAAAACTACAAAGAACTAGAAACTGGGCAGCAACGTGAGGTCCGGTGCCCTTCCTCACCCAGAACGTCTGGAGGTGCGAAATGCAAGATGGATGGAATTATATTTGGCCTGAGGAGCCCCCCTCGTGTCCTGCAGACAGCACAATGCAGCCCAGAAATCACGTCCCTGCTTCCTTTTGCTCCCCCCGCCCCAAACACGCACCTCGTGGTCCTAGGAGACCCCACCTCCTCAACCCAAGCCGTGTCTCCTGAAGCACCCACCCTGGGACACCATCCCGTGGCATGAAGGATGCAGGACTGGCTTTTTGGTCCTTGGCCAAGGAGCGTCTCCTCCCTTCTGGCTGGCCCTGATCCTGCCTGCGAACTCCCCCTCCACGCTTGGCGGGGCTACCCCACCACACACACAGCCTGATTGCTAACACATGGGCAGGAGGCTCGCCGCCAGCCCGCTTTGAAACCCCCCCGGCCCCCTTTGCTGGCTACGCTTTCTTGTCTCTGCTTTTAGGAAATGAAGTCAGAGCGTTGATATAAAACAGGCTGGGCTGAAAGGGGAGACTGGAGAGGCCAGGAGTTTCTGGAGGGGGCCCTCTGTGTGCCCAAGACCAGAGTGGCCGCCGGGGCTTAAAAGCAAAGATTATGCACTTGGTCAACCTCGAAGCTTCTAAAACCAATTCCCGCATCTCAGGGCTTGTCCTGGGCTGTGTTGTCCAGACTCCTTGGCAAAACCTGGGTGTCTTCGTGGAGGTTTTGAAGGCCACGTTCTTGTGATGGAGCACTCTGAAGTCTTTGGAAATAGAGCCGCTAGGGTGGAACGTTGCAGGGGATCCGGTTGTGTGAATTCGGAATGGGCGCTTGGAGCAGCTCCTTGCTTAGAAAGGTCGCCGTACCCTGAACCAACCCCAATGATGCCATCAAACAGTAAATGTTACCGTGAGAGGAAGGGAAAATATTTAATTCACTGAAAGAGAGACGCCTTTCAGTTCAGTTCACTCATATTTGGGATTGCCTGTTCCTTGATCCTGCTCACTAATTTTTAGAGGTTGCCTCCCATGTACCACACCAAAGCCACATGCAACCCCCCCAAAACCTTCCCCACAAAAACCCTGCATAAAATTCCTGTACAATCAGACTTGTGGCATTTGTCTCTATGCCTAGATAGAAGTGAATTTCTTAAAAAACCAAACAAAAAAAGCCCCATATGATCAGGATTAATTCTGTGGTGTCGTTCTAAGCTTAAGACTGCAAATTTGATTGTGTTGTTAAATATGTGCCCACTGCTTGCATCTAAAAACTCTCTCCTTCTCCATAACTCTCCTCCTTCTCCTTCTCCTTCTCCTTCTCCTTCTCCTTCTCCTTCTCCTTCTCCTTCTCCTTCTCCTTCTCCTTCTCCTTCTCCTCCTCACTCCACACTATTCCAGGTATGCAAATTGGCAAATGCATTTCTTTTTAACACCTCGTGCAATACTTTGGTGATTCATTTATTTGCTCATATTGTTCAGAGGCTGCCTAACTTCCCATGACTTTGGGTGGCTTACGGTTTTAAAAGCAGGAAACAATGAAATAGGAAAAGAGATTGTATGCATCCAGAAGGAAACCGCATATAGCAGATGAAAAATCTCAGAACCACCAGCCCACCCCAGGGCTTGGGAAAATAGCCATGTTTTTGGTGACTTTCTGACCAGCCAAAGGGATCTCGGGAGGGCGGGATATTCATCCAGAGGCCCAAGTCCCAATAGATGACATTGTTTACATTGCATACCCACTCTGCCCAATCTTGCAGAGTCTTACCCTAAAAGAGCTTCTCCATATAGCAGGGAAGAAAAATATTCCAGCCGATTGAACTAAAAGCCACTCCTTGTCCGCGGCATCACAGATTGTCACATGGGGTCCTGCTAGTTGGACACTCAAACCTCCGCTCGGGCAGGAGCGGTGCTGCTAAGATCTTGGCTAAAATCTTTGAGCTCGCACATTTTCTGGGAAGCAGCAATGAAGAGCAAAATGGCCTTTGGTTCTGGGAAAGGAAACCAGGAAGATGGCTTGAGAATCACTCCGGTCATCCCGCTCTAGGAATTTCTGGATTTCAAGCGTGGCGTCCAACCCTCGGTCGCCTCCTTTGTGAAAGGAAGCAGCTTTTCGTGTCAAACCTCAGCTCTTTGAGATCTGTGCGTGGCCTTGAGGAGAAACATGGCAAAAGCCCATCCTTGGGGGGGATTTTCACAGCTGGAGTCAGAAAGCCACCTGGCTGGAAGGTCGAAGCATGGATGGACCTTTCTCTCACTCTAGCAATTGGGTGTGATTCGCAGAGGCTGAGCGTAGCTTCTGTACCCAGTCACGGGCAAAGACGGCATTTTGCTGTCTGCAGATCTCTCATTCAGGGCTTGACTTGTCAGAAAGAAGTTCCTCAGATCGAAGAAGCTGAGTCTGATGCTACGCGCAGGTGGTTGGGTGGGCAAGCACGCCGGAGAAGGGTTGGAATTAACCAGCAACGTGATGTTTAGTTTGGAGGACGAAAAAAAAAAATTCAAATGGGAAGTCGGCCGGCTGGAAAGCAGAAAACCAGCTTTGCTGTTATTTTGAAGAATGCCTCTGGGCCTCGAGAAAATGAAAAGCAGGGAGGGGGCTGCAGCCCAGAATTTGGTTTATGCCCTACCCCCATCCCAGAAAAATGGCATAGCTGAGACGCTAAAAAATGGCAGCAGAGAGGAAACTCCTCTGTTTGCCTTCTGGAAGATGGATGTTTTATGATGCCTTTCCTCCATCCAGGTTGGCGTGAGCCGCTAGCAAGGAGCAGGAGAAACTTGGTTTCCTTCAGAAGATCCCTTCCTTGTGTCTGGCACTCTAAACTCGCCTGCCAAACCAGAAGGACTTTGCTCAGAACAATGGGCTTGGTGGTGCAGGGCAGTCTTCCTTGACTCCCAGCTCCCAGATGATCAGGCTACAAGCCCCATGGTTGGCCCAGCAGCCCAGTTTGGTCACCCCACCCATGGGGTGGGGAAGCCCAAGAATTGTCAAGGCAAGGGTGAGGCACAGCTGCCTGCCAAAAGAGCCATAACGCTTCCCTCCCATCTGGACACATTTAGATGACCCATCGTTTTCTGCGAAATGAGTTTGCGACACCTTGGTTGGGTTCTTAATCATCAGGCTGATGCGCTGACAAAGTCAGAGCTGCCAGGGAGGGCTAGCAGCACATGTGGGTTTCTGGAGACTCTTCTGAGCAGAGTCACTTCCACCCGAGTGCTCCTGGGGAGTGAAGACATAATCCCACCCCATCCCCTTGGGGATGAGGATGAATGGTCAGAGATAATAACCACGATCAAAGAAATCTGAAATCTTTCGAAGAAGCGAAACAGAGAAACAGATTTGAGCAAATACCTCTAGCAGGTTTCCCACTCTTCCTTCTGTTTCCAACCTCCAGTTCAATGCATTTGCTACTTAAAAAAAAAACATGACATATGGATTTTTATTCAAGTCATGTGTTCACTTTTATTTATATATCGTTTCTCTTTCTCCATCTTTCACTAATGCATTTTCCCCAGTAGATCCATTTGTGTTAGTCATTTCCACGGATATAAATATTTTAACATGCTTTTTGCCTCTTAGTGTTCATTCACACCACAATGGCATAAACAGGTGGGTGCCCTCTAGGCATCTGGGGCTGCAACACCCATCAGCCCCATTTCAAAGATTTAAGGGACATAGTCGTGGCCCCAAACATCTGGAAGTGACTTGGGAACCTGTCCTGGGGATGGCCAGAAAAACAAGGCTTCAATTTTTCCATGCTCACACTCTCCTTCTGGGCTTTTGTTGAAGCTGCATCTTCTGACTTCCTTTTCAAACTGCAGAAGGAAAGATTCAGCAAAACATCATAAAAGCAAATCAACACCCTCTTTTGGTGCTGTCAGAGCAACTGCGGATTTGGAGGCTTTTTAATGGAGGAGTAGACAAACGCACGGTGAACAAGACTATCTTACGTTGGGGGCCCCCATTCAAAACAAGTCTGCTGGGACTCATTTTTGAATTCTATGTGGTTTTCTTCTTAGTTACTAAGACCTGAGTCCAGCATTCCTGCATGTTTCATTCCCCTTCCTGCTGTGAGCAACCACAGTTCTTCATTTTTTCCAATCAAGGCTGACATGATGCAGAAAGCATCTCGCCAAGAGTTGAGTCCTGGAGCCCAGGATGGTCTTCTTAATTAGCAGAAGGCTTCTAGGAGTAAGACAAATGAGGGGCGGATTTGGTTGCACAGTCAAGCACCTTGGTAAGGATGGGGTGTGGAAGCCTCATCAAGACAAAGTCTTTACAATGTGGTACTTTACCCAAATCCAAAGTTGTTACTTTTGTTTGTCGTCTTCACAGTGTCCCTCCCACCCCACTTAACAAAGTTTCCAGATTGTTGAGACCACAGCTGCCAGAATCATCAACAAAGAGATGATGGGAGCTGCAGAAAGTCTTGGTGGGTATAGCTTTGAGATGACTGACGGCCAATTGCTTTGCCTTCTAGGAGAAAGAGAAGAAGTACATGCTCCCAGTGGATAACTTGAAGGTGCGAGATGTTGAGAAAGGTTTCATGTCGAGCAAGCACATCTTCGCGCTCTTCAACACAGAGCAAAGGTATGCCCTTTCTCTGCCCGAGCCCAAGGAGATCCTTCTCTTTTTCCGAACCCAAGGGGATGACATCAGCAAGTAGACAAGGTTACGTAACATTTCATCTTCTTTCATTCCCCACCATCCAGGAACGTTTACAAAGATTATCGTCAACTGGAGCTGGCGTGTGAAACCCAGGAGGAGGTGGACAGTTGGAAGGCGTCCTTCTTGCGGGCTGGAGTTTACCCAGAGCGTGTTGGGGTGAGTTGAGCAGCAGTGGAAGAGGAAACATGAGCAAGAGTGAAAGTTGTAGGACGAACCATGTCACTGAGATGCCAGATAACCAGACGGTGACATCTGTGTTTGTTTATATCATCTTGGTTTGGGTGTAAAGCAGGAAGAGGAGGAGGAATTCTAATCTTCCTACTCCTCCCCTCCTTTGTGCATTCTTTGCAAGACACAATCCATGTTTTCCCAAGACTTTCCCCCTCTTCTTTTCTTTCCACGAAAAATGCACCAAGGAAGGACAGATTGAAGAGACCCAGGAAGGTCTTTCGGTCCTCGCTGGTCGGCTGCCATGTTGCATGGTCCAGCCCAAAGACAACAGCGCCATCTGCTGGCGAGGCCTGAAACGACAGCACCTTCGTTGGCTTGCTCTGCTCGGCCATAAATTGTGTTCTCCATTTAAGATTTCCGTTCTTAACCAGTTCTCCCTTGTCTCCTTTTATCTTTTTTCTTGCTTTGCGCCCCCCTCTCCAGGGTTATATTTTATGGGTGCTAATGCCTCAGGTTTGGTCTGTTTGCTGTTAGATCCTATACCAATACTAAGAAAACAGATTTTAGTTTGGCTGGAAAATCACTTTTTCTAGGAAGCTCTGTTTGAGACTGATGGATTGATTATGTGCCTTCAAGTCGTTTTCAACTCCTAGCGACCGCATTGATAGATTTTCTCCATGGTGATCTATCCTTCACCTGGTCTTTCAGGTCTTCCAACGGGGCACTCAAGCCAGTTTTATTTTTAATTTATTGCATTTATTGTTGTGATCCCATTCCAAGTATATCCTCTGTTTCCATGGGTACACTTAATACTTAGCCAGAAAGTATACATACATACATACTTTTTTAAAATCACATTTTTTCTTGTTTTTGCTTTTCGTGCTTAAACTGGCCTTGCAGGACAAAGACAAAGTAAGTGATGGTCCCTGCTTTTCCTGTACCATCTCCCTTTCAATTACACTTTTTTTTTATTGGATCAGTTTTTTAAACTCCTTTTTATAATTTAACCTTTTATCCCTGTATCTTAAGAGAGACTTTGTCCTTCGCCCTTTTTCTCTCCACTTCATGCCACGTTGCCTGCTTGATTTTATTTCTATTCTTTCTAGAATTTTTCTTTTTGCTTGTTTTCGCCTTCTCTGGAACATATTCCCCCATTTCCGAGCTACATTAGAAAGAAAAGAAAAGATATACATTTTTCTTTGTCATTTGTTTCCTTCTTTTTTAAAAAAAAAATAATGCCCAGTTTCCCAGTCTTTGCTCCTGGGGACCTTCAAGATACGTACATAATAATGTAAATATTAGATCTGGAGATTCAGTCCAAAGACAGCTTGACTGAGTCTCTGAATTGAATCACATTTGCACATCAGTCCTCATGCCAATTCGAATGAATTCATATAACCTGGAGACTTCTGCGCAGAAGCCTCTGCATCGATTCCTGGCTGGCAAATCAAAACAGAAGTCTGAACCCCAATTCCAATCTGAATTTGATTTTGCAGACCTTTAATACATAAGTGCTTTGGAACAGAAATGTAAGCAGGGAGTGATGGTGGTAGGAAGAGACCTATGGTAAAACTCCTCCTTCTATGAAATCTGGTTTCATATCTCAGAAGAACAGCCTCTACTTTCTTCCGTAAACCATTTGGATAAACTGCGAAAGAAGATGATGGGCCCTTAAAGTTGGAGTATACAACATCTAGCCTTGGATCTGATATGAATCTCCTTCTGTTCTGTCCTTGTTATCAGGGGAACTAGATGGGGAGTGGGAGATCATGGGCTTTGAAACGCACTCCTCTTTGGCTTCTGGTTGTTAACGGCCTGCCTTGTCTCCCCATCGATCCTGCGCAGGGTGGGGAGTCAGAAGAGAACGGCTCCGACAGTTTGATGCATTCAATGGACCCCCAGCTGGAGAGGCAAGTGGAAACCATCAGGAACCTTGTTGACTCCTACATGGCCATCGTCAACAAAACCATCCGTGATCTCATGCCCAAGACAATCATGCACCTTATGATAAACAATGTACGTATGACCAGGGAAGGGTTACCAGATGGTGTGTATGAGTTACATGACGTTTTATGAGTTGTTTGGACCCATCTCTTCACTTAAAAGCTGCAAGTTCTGGAGCAGCACATCAGCTTTTGGCCCTGGGCTTCCCATCTCAACAGACTTGGGAAACAAGGAAAGCAGATGAGGGAGGAAAAGAAAAACAAGAACATCTGAGATGGTGATCCACCAGCTCTACAGCTTAGACGTTTGGCAGAAAAAGGAGCATATTGTAGGATGTTGGAATGGGATTGGGGAGAACTTCGTTCAATTCTGGCTAGGAGATGTGGTGCAAGTCCCCTCTATCAGCCTAGTCTACCTCGCAAAGATATCCCTATGCAGGGAGCGTCTTTGCTCCATTGTGTTCTTTTACGCATTGGTTCAAAGCCTTTGTACCTGCTCTTACAATCAAGCTTCCAATCTAACACACACACACACACACATACAGAGATTCAGAAAGTGAAGAGAAAAGCAAGCTTCATGGGCTGTTCTCAGAGTTGCTGGTGCATTTATGAAAAAGTGTTCTAAATTCTTGGATTTAAACCAAGAGTGGGCAACGGGTGAAGAATCCCAGGTTTCCAGTAATTCCTGATTGGGTATGGATAATGAATGGCCCCCCAGAGATTACCCCCAGGGTGTTCCTAAAATGCGGGGGATAGTCTCACTCGGATGGATAGTTCAGGTGGTTGGATGAGGGAGACCCCTCAATTCCACCACCACAACCCTGTAAGGGTGATTGAGGGCCACCCACAATCTCTCAGGGTGATTATTCTGGGAAGTTGGAAGTCGAAGGAAGATGCTCCTCAAGAAAAAGTCAGCTATGAATCTCACCCAAAAAGGAACCGTCGCCAAGCTGTATGGATTAATGCACATCCTTGTGTCCTCTTCCACCTCCCCTTTGGCAGACAAAGGAGTTCATTCACTCTGAGCTGCTCGCCAACCTCTATTCCTGCGGGGACCAGAACACCCTCATGGAGGAGTCGGTCGAACAAGCCCAGCGGCGCGACGAGATGCTGCGCATGTACCACGCCCTGAAAGAGGCCCTACACATCATCGGGGACATCAACACCACCACCATCAGCACCCCGCTGCCTCCGCCGGTGGACGACTCTTGGCTGCAGGTGCAGAGCATACCGTCCGGACGCAGGTACCCGAGGCGCAAGGGGAGGCCCCTGCTGACCTTCCTGGCGCCTCTGCTCAGCCAGATAGGTGGCCGCCCCCGGCAAAAATGGGAAGGAAGGGGGCTGGGTGTTCACGTTTCCTGCCCCAATCGCGGCGTCCATGGGACCTGCAGGGAGGGGGCCCTGGGGTGCCTTCAGAGGCCAAGTGGGGTACGGAAGGTTTCTGGCGTAAAGCCTAGCGGGCACAGCTGTCCTCCCAAACCCAGAGAGTTAAAGGTGGTTGGAAAGAAGGCGTGATCCAGGCAATATGCCCAGATTTCTCTCCCCTGTGAAAGCGGCTTCCGTTTTCCAGCTTGGTCACCCGAGGAGGAGCAGACAATGCAGTCTTCCTAATTTTGTTTCTTGGTTTGTGCCTGTGACCATTTGAACCCTCTATGGCTTTCATCCTTCCCGCTCTGAAGGAGTGGGTCATTCCCTTGGCATTTAGGAAGCCAGGAGCCTGCAGACCGCTGGAAAGAATTTTCACCAAGGGAAGTGTGAAAATTCGAGAGCCCACCGAGGAAGCTGATGAATAGCAGGACAGGAGGGAACCAGGGTTGGCAGGAGGGATTTTTGGCATAGTATGCACACTCCACGTGCTCGCATAGGGGGTGAGCAGGACTTAATTTTGCTCCACTCTCCCGTTTGGCAAGATACGGTGGTGAATGAAAAGGAACTTGTGCCTCAACAGACACGGATGCCTGGCTCCAACTGCCTTCATCTCTCTTGAAAGCTCTTTGGTTTCTCCTCTAAGGACTTCTCCAAGCTGACCTTTCTCTCCCTTGGGCAGGTCTCCCACCTCCAGCCCCACGCCGCAGAGAAGAGCACCGGCAGTCCCGCCCACCAGGCCTGGATCGCGAGGACCAGCTCCTGGACCTCCGCCTGCTGGTGGTCCCAGCCTCGGTGGTGCTCCCCCTGTGCCTTCCAGGCCGGGGGCCTCTCCTGATCCTTTCGGGCCTCCCCCACAAGTTCCCTCTCGGCCCAACCGTGCACCCCCTGGGGTCCCAAGGTAGGTGAGATCGGGCCACGGGTGAAACAGGGGGAGAACATAGGGCTGGAAACCCAAGCCGACGTTATGGGGAGTGAGGATTTGGAATTAGCATCTTTTTACAAAATCGTAGGTTGTATTGACCGGGTTGCAACATTCGATAACCACGGAACCCAGGCTTGCTATCCTGGGCACCTGCAAGATTCTTTTGGGGGGGATAGCAACCCTCTTCTTTTGCATTGTTTAATTTCAAAAATCCAGAGGATTTCCCATTTGGCAAAACAGATCTGCTGTAAGATTTTAAGCGGAAGGCAGAATCAGTCTCGAGTGTGAGGATCTCATGTGGTCACCCCATCAGGGGCAGAAGACTCCCTTGACTGGTGTTCTTGGGGGAAATCTTGCAAACATCAGCCTGAAGAAGCAAAGCCCAAAGATGTTATTGTAAGATGAAGTTCAGAAGAATTCTGTCCTTCAGAAACGGAATTACCTTGCACTAGCAAGGCATGTTCCTTGTGGGAACAGTCCTAAATATGTAGATTTTGGGTATGTCCTACTGAATTTAAAAAGTGCAATACACAGTTGAGTAGAAGCCAATCATTCTGAATCCGGTGGAAATAAGGCCTGTTTGCAGTGGGATTTTTGTCTTCATGCACATCAAATAATTTTTGGCCTGCTGTTCGATTAGTAGGTTTTGGAGGTATGGGTTGTACTTCCAGTCTTAACCTTCAGGGAAAAAAAGAGGTTTTTTTCTGCCTAGAATTATTCCTGAATATAGGTGTGTGAAAATCTTGAGAAAACCCACCCAGCTTATTTTAGGGAAGTTGGCTGGCCTCGTTTTCTGAATCAGAGAACTCTCTGGCCAAGCTTTTGACATGAACAAATGAAATATTTACAGTGATATTAAAATAGGATTTTTTGGGCTGGCGAACAAAAAGCCTTTGACCTGGAATTCCATGTTTGGCAGCTCCAAAACTTACACTTGAGGGAGACCCAAACATCCATAACTTGGATCAATCAATGGGCTGCCGTTCCTTATGCTGGCCTGTGACTCAAGCCACCCATGCTCCCTGTTGTCATTTTGCCCAGTGAAAAGAAAAGGTCTGTTTCCCCAGCTCAGCGATTATAAATTGAATTATACTGGGGGGCTGAAACAAAGCAGGGCTCTGACTATTGCAGTATCTGTATAATGGGTACAAATGTTGCAAAGAAAAACGCCGAGAGGTAAGTGCAGAATTAAAGGCTTCCTAGGTTCCCAGGGGAAAACTCCATACCTCTTGCTTATTTCTCTCATTTAGGGACGGATTCTCCATGGTTTGTAAATGCCTCCAATATGCAATTTTAGAAAAGCGAGGGACAGAAGGCGTTGCACTGGCCAAAAAATTCCATTCTCCTCTCTGTATCAACTTACAAAGTTTTGGGTTATCTCAGGAGGTGCATCTCTCTGAGTGCTGCTTCTGATCTCACCTATATGATGACTACAGGTAGTCCTTGTTTCCAGTGACCACAATTGGGACCTGCAACTTGGTTGTTGAGCGAAGCGGCCGTTAAGTGAAACTGTGATTGTGCTTACCATTTGACTTCAGCTTTCCTTTGCTTTACAGACCTGCCAAGGTCGTAAATGCGAGGATTGGTCGTAAAGTTACTTTTTCATTACCATCATAACTGTGAATGGTCGCTAAACAAGGACTACCTGTGCTTTCAACTTTAAATTTAATACTCCAGCTGGCTTTGCAGAAGTCAGGCAAAATGTTCCAGTCATGACCAGGATGGAGCAGAGTTTCAAACAATTCAGATTTTTTGGGGCGGGGGGAGGTAGAAAAGCTTGGCAATATTTGCAGAGCTCTTTTCCCAAGTCTTCTGCTGGAAAAAAAAAATCCTAGCACAGGAGGGTGTGAATTGGACGGATCGCTCCATCACTACCCAAACCCTAGTCCACCTGAGAAAGAGCTTGCCTGATGCTCTGCAGCACAGCTCTCTGCTAAAAGCAGGAAGGGATGAGTTGGGAAAGGCGCAGGATGCTGGTTTATAGTGTCTGTGCTCCCTGCAAAACAAGCCACGTTGTGTTGTGCAAATGATTGTTTCAACCCACAGCGTTGCCACTTGGTGCCTTCATTGTTTTCCAGATGTTTAGGAGATTATCCATGGAGATTTCACTGTCCTGTTCCTTTCTTCTTTTGAACAGCTTACCATCTGTCAGTCCCTGTGGTTGTCTGCGTGTCCTGCTACTTCTGCACAAGCCTTGTTTTAATTTTTCCTCCACCCCATCCCATCTACTGGTTCCTTTTTCTCCTTTCTCGTGGATGATCCTTTACTTCCATTTCTCTTCTGCTCTTCTGAATTTCAGTGTTCATCCTCCCCAGGGCCTGTTTCCATTCTCGTCCTCAACTTCTCCACTCTGTTTTTCATTCCTTCATTCAGATTATCTATTCTATATACAGGCAGGATACTCGAGGTGGGTTGAAATCAATGGGTTTTCCCTCTCTTCAGACTCATAGACATACTGCCCCCTTCCACAGCCCCAGAGCCCCCATGAAAGTTTGGATCTCATGTCAAAAGGTGCAGTTAGCTTGATCCCCTTCTCCCCAAGTGCTCCCACGTACTGGGAAAGAGATATAGCAATGACCGGTTCCTGTTCTGATTCTGGTTTGTGCTCTACAGGTGTTTCTAGGACCCAACTCTACATTCCAGCTGCTATGGGAAAAAAATTTGCAGATCCCATCCCATATATTTTTTTTCAAATGGTCAAATCACTCCTTGTAAGATTTGTAGAACAACCTTCAAGAGGTAGCAGTGTTGCAGCTAGCCACCAAGAGAGTGGGTCCCACCTTAAAGATTTCACAAGGATAGGGCATTCCATGAGAAGTAGAGTTGAGTCCATGAATGTTGACATCAGTCTTTCTCAGCTGGAAGTCCTTCAGTTGCAGACAGTAGAGGTTCTGCTCTAATGTATCTCAAAGGGATCTAGCAAAAAGAAATTCACCTCTAAGATTGAGTTCCCAAATCAAGTGGGTGCAGAATCTCTCTCTCTCTCTCTTCCTCCCCCACTCCCCCTTTCCAGTTCCTCACCCTTTTCTGTAAGGTGCCCCTTCCCCACCCCATAGCCCAATGGCTGAGATGGCACACCAAGTCTCCTTCGGCCATCTCTTGTATATAGAATAAGTTGGTTCACACTTGCCAGATGGCATCATCCTCTTGCCAGAAGTGAACAGGCAACCATCTTCATTTTGTCGTTGTTTGTTCTTCTTTCTCTCTCCCCCCTTCTTTTTCTTCCCATTGGGTGAAAAAATGGGGCCCAGAGTGGGACTGAGAAGAAGCACATCAAACTTTGCAGTGTGTGTGGTTCTGTCTGTGCCCGGGAGGGTTCATCTACCATCCTGTCTTGTAAGAGTGGAATACTTTGAATGAGTATTTTGAAGGACTCATCCTGCCCTCACGTGCCCAATGGTAGAGCCACTGTCTGCAGAATCAGTGCCCTCAGATTGCATTGGGCGATGCTGGCTGGCAACGCTAGCTGTCACCCCGACGCCCAGCAACCACCAAACTGGGGGCAACTGCAAGAGACCTAACATCCTAGACTGGGATGAGGCCATCGTTCAGCAGTGTTGCGGCTTGTGTGCATTTACCCCCAACCCGATCCATTGCTGAGGCTGGAGGCCTTGTTCTTGGCCTGGGTGCGCACTGTTGCAGCTGTCGAAGTGCCCCTGGGGTGTGAGTCCCTCGAGGTGTGTTAAATCCGTTGTCTCTTTCAGTGTCCACTGCGCAGTTGTTGACAGCTGCATCTTCCGGTTTCCACCCGCTTTTCTCCTCTGTGTGCTTGCGCGTCGTGGGGAATGCCAGCACGGGCTGCGCCTTGCTTTTGCTCACCAGCCGGTGTGGGGAAACGCAAGCCCGTGTGTTTTTCCAAGCTGTCTGGCCTTCTGCCTCAGTGTCTGTTGCTCTCGTGTTATCTTTTCAGAATCACTATCACTGACCCTTGAGGACTGGCAGAGACGGGTATGTTCTTCGCTGTACTCCCCCCGGCCTCCGCTGATGCACAAGTCGGTGTGGTTAGCACTTCGGTCTCCTCGCCCCATTGCCTCTCCATCTCGTCCTCCCCTCCTGCCACTCGCCTCTCCTAGACCCGTACGGGGGTCCGTAGGGGATACCCGTTTTGTCTCCCTCCGGCCTGCAAACCTCTTGGCTGTTGGAGTCGCGTAGTCCAAAGGGGGAGAATCTTTGGCAGCAAAGATTTAAGAAACGTGGTAGTGGGCCTGTTAGACCCCACGAAATTGGGCAGTGGGACAGAGGGAAGTCTTCTCCATTGCCCATTCCTGTAAACATAGGTTAAGTCCCAGCTTTGATCCACCCATTATTGTCTCATCCTGGAGCAATGCTTTCTGGGGCCCCAGGCGCAAAACCGCAACCCAGGTCCCCCTGGCCTTGATTCCTGGTGTGTATTCTCATATTTATCTAAAATTCCTTCCCAGCATTCGACTCCTAGTGTGTCTTCCAGATTCCAGTAGATTAGCAGCATCAGGTTAGGTACAGTATGCGTGTTTCAGTGACACTGGTGCAAGAACATTACTTGGGAGATTGCACCCCAGGGCAGTTTGAGTCTCGGCTCCTATTTTTAAGGAGGCTGGGGAGCCATGATCTCACCCCTTGAATGCCACTTTGGAGCAGAGCTTCAGAACCATGATGCCCTTCGCCAATCCTGCTTCTCTTCTCAATCTCTAAAACATCCGACCAGACGTTTCTCATGTCTTGTCGCATCAAGTCCACTTCTATCAGTCACGTGGCAAAGTGTGTAGAATGAGAAGCTGGCCAGACTAGCCGTTGTGCCCCAGCAGCTCCAGGGACAGAGGGCTGGCAGGCAGGCTGGCTGGCAGGTCACGACGTGCCACTTCCCGAACAGAAGGGCCGGCCCCTGCCTTCCAGCTTTACGCTGAAGCACAAACTGCTCTAAGGGTTCAGTGCTGGCTTAGGTTTCCCCGGTCAGGTGCTGCCCAGTTGTATAATTCCTATCACCTCCATTCAGCACATGGAAGAAGGCGTAGACAATGCTTCCAGTGAAAGTGCCCATCATGGGTTTTCTTCTCCCTTCTGGCATCTCCTCTATACAATTTCCTTTCCTCCACAGTACAGAGCCTGCTCCAACTCTGCATTCATTCTCTTTTCCTGGGAATCCTTCTGGACAGACCGTCCTAGCACCCTCAAACAGTATCAAGCAACTATTGCACCTTCCCCACCTTAATTTGGGGGAAGGAGAAACAGATGGTGGGGAAACACTGAGTAGCCCCCATAAAATTCTGTGAAATTAGGTAGAGCAGTTGCAAGAATCCAATATCTCAATGTTGTCATCTCCTTTGTCATCCTGTTGTTGACGCTGGGCATCCAAGCTGGCACCTTTGCTGTACCTTTTCCCTGTTAAAAGCCCAACGACCAAGACTGCAGTTAAGGAACAGAGACTTAGAAAGGCTTGGGAAACTCCTGTTTTCCAGATGGTTGATGAACTTCAGCTCCTAGCATGGCCCCTTCTCTGTTATGCTGGATGGAGCTTCTAGGAGCCATAGCCCACCAACATCTGGAGGAACATAAGCTCCTCATTTGCATAATAGGGAGGTCCAAGGCATTGAAAAGTGAATACTGACCCACACAGTCACTCAACAAATCCAGTTATAGCATTTGCAGCCAAGAAGGTCAACATTTATGGCCAGCATAAATGTTATGCACTAAGGTTATTCACATATTTCTGCTTAGATTTGCATGAATGTACTCCTGAAATGGACATTTTTAGATTGCCAAGTCCCTCCCCAATCCTTTTGCGTATGTGTGTGTGTGTGTATGTGTCTGTACATGTCTATGTGCCAGAAAAAAATACACAACAGGAAGGAATTTACCCAGATTCCTCCTTCCCCAATAAGCACAAGTCCTTATTAGTTCCCCAGCGGGAGCAACCGCAATGACTTCCTGGAAAACAGAGAGAGAGAAAGAGAGAGAGATTGGAAAAGGAAGCAGTGGGCTTGAAATAAATAAAATAAAATAAGAAAACTCTTCAAAGAAATGCTGAGAAAGTCCTCTTTAAGAGGCTCAGTCTTGACTAGGTGGACTCCAGAGCTTAATGGGGTACTTGCTGTGAAATCCTGTCATTGTGTACATAGAAAATGAGGGGGAGGCCAATGGTAAACAGGCGGTCACACTAATCTCCAACATATCTCATTCCACCACTCCAAACCTGTGGCTGGTTCCCTCTTTATTCTACATCAGAGGCCCGTAGCCCAACTGGCAACGTGGCGATCCACCATCACTTTCCTGCGTCTAGTCAGTCCAATTCAATTCAGGCATGGCTATCCAGTTCTTGCTGAACTATTTACAAGAGCTGGCCTTTCTGTTGCCCTTTGCTTCCTTTTGGGACCTACTCTTAAGAACTATTGTCTGCCCCAAAGCTGGGATTACAGGAAGCGCTGAGAAGATAAGCTTGAAATGACTTGGAAAAGGCCACATGGTCTCCTTTACAAGCCAGCAGAGCTGCAGGGCAAGATGTAACTGATAGAGTAAGTTATTGTTTGGCCTCTTCATTTACTCCACTTGCCATCTCCCAAAGCAAATTGGGGTTGATGGACCTCAGAAATGCCCATGTAGGTCACCGCCCCTAGTCAACCTTAAGAAAGATGGAAAACCAGGGCTGGAGCCTAAGCTGCGAAGCTGAAAAACAGACCAGAAGACCCTTTCATATTATGGCCATGAAAATGACATGGACATAGCCATTAAGTTCTTGCAACTTTAGGAAATTGCCTCAGAGGCACTTTCTTAATGAAGATGGCCTTGCAGGCCTTTGGAGAAGGAGGTCCATGCTTGCTCAGTCAGATACCCCCAACTTTCTTCCACAATTCTTAAAAAAAAAGCCTGTAGTAGCTAGGATTTTCCAGCATTCACCTCGTACCGAAGCCGTTGGTTAATCCAATCAAGTTCTACTTGAGTTGAAAGCATCACCCAACGGTTGCTTCCCATTCCAGGAAAGATCTCACTGCACCCATCCCACTGGAATGGTCCTCACATCTAGGAAGATGGTGAGGGGAGTCACCATTTGGGACTGGGGCTCTCCATCACCCAGTCTGTGAGCAGACTAAAGCCCTAGAGAGCTTTCTGAACACGTTTTGCTCAGGAAGGTACAGATCAGCCCCCGCTTTGCCCTAAGTGCCCAGGGCTGACCATTAGCTGGCAACTTCAGAAAAAGAACAGCCCTTCGCAGAGGGCATATTCATTTCAACTGACATTCTTCCTCATGCGCTTGGAAGAGCACCATCACCATAGTTGTGCTTCATGCTTCTCAACAGTCATCTAGCGGCCAGGACCCCCTTCCACGGGGTGGGGTTTGGCTTCCCTGGAGAAAGCCCCGGGTGGATCCCATCTGGAACCCCGGCCACCAGATTCCACCCATCAGTCACGAGAGCTTCCTTTAAACAGCGATTTGGATTTAAGAAGGGTCAAAAAGCTGGTTAGGAGCTGCTCTTGGGGAAGTTTCCATGACGCTATGGTACTGGCCGAGATGAGGTGGTGAGAAGCATGACCGATTGCAGTTGGCCACCATGCTAATCTCCGTATGCGTGTTTCTCTTCTTGATTTTTTTTTTTTATCTCTCTCTCTGCCTTCACAGCCGGAAAGGCCCTTCTTCACCTACTCGACCCAGTATAATCCGACCAGCTGAACCTTCCCTCTTAGACCTATAACCCAAGGCCTGTAGACAGCTGGTGACAAGCCCCGTGCCTGGGTTCCCCCCCCTCCGCTAACCCAGTATCCGCCCGAGGCCTCCCCTCGGCTCCTCTGCCCCCTTCCTCCATGTGGTAAAAAATGCTCGTTTAGTGATTGAGCACTTGTCTTCTTTCGTGCGTCCGTATTGCATTGTGAGCCTAGAATAGTCCTAGTTCAAGGGCATGAGATGTGAATGCCGTGAGCTCTCCGGAGCGTAGTGTTACAGGAGCATCAATGCCTCAAAATGCCCAACTCGTCTTGGGTTCAGTGTCCTGCCTGCCTCGGTCAGCTGTAGCCCTAATCCGTAGCAACGTAGCCCCCCCCCTTTTTTTGCTTACTGTAGTAAAGACAAAAAAAGACATGGTCTTGTGTTGTCAACTCTGGATGAGGATCACACCCAGAAAGAGAACGTGGACAGAATGATTTCATGTTCTTGATCATGTCTGGAACGTGGGATTGATTCAAGGTGCAGCATTGGGGGGCCCGGTGGAGGAGGCTGATCCCTTTTCAAGCAGGGCCAACCTGTATGGTGGCCGGGGAGGGCTTCCTGGATGACGCAGTCTTCCGGAGGAAAACGCCTGCGGTTCTTTCCCGATGGATGGAAGTCGACGTTAACGGGTCACCCTCCGTTCTCGGAAATACCAAACGGGAGTTGAAAGAGAGACTGGTGGCTCCGGCTATAGCTTTGTGGTATGACCTCTTGCAGATGACTTTCCACCAAGAGACCAAGGCTAATCTAGTCCTTTCTCAGCCAAATCGGACCCGCTGATATTTCCAAAAGAGTTTTGCTGTGTAAATGTTTCATGACCTTTGCTCCTGACGAAAAACAAAACAAATAAGGACCTCTACAAAAACGTTTGATGTCTTGAGTATCCTGGTGGTTCCGTTTGCTTCCTTGCGTGCAGGCGACACGTATTTCATTACACGGGGAAAATAGGATTGCCACCGCCAGCTTGGATTTCCCTCTGCCCCGGCCCTGTTACGTACGAGTCGAGGGATGGAGGTTAAAAAGAGTCCAGCGCTATTCCCATTCCTCTAAAACCAGTCTTGGCCATCTTCTCAGTACGCCTTTAAGTCATCCCTGCTTGCAGTTTAAGTTCTCTGATCCGAACTTAATCCGTGGCTTTTGAGTTGAGTTCAGGTTTTGACGTCTGTTCCTTTCTGTATTTTAACTATTGTTTTACTTCTTTTGTTCCTCCCCGTTTCCTTCCTTCTTGTTTTGTTCTCGTCTCTTCCTTAAATTCCAGCCGGCCTGGCAAAGCTAGTCCCTCCCGCCCGGAGAGTCCAAAACCACCGTTTGACTTGTAATCCTGCTTTCTTGAGATCCGTCCTTTCTCTGCCTCTTAGCTGTCCTGCCCTGGAACGGTCGAACGCACATCTTAAAACCCACAGCTTTGTACTGTCGTAGCTTGTGACTCGCACATATCAGATGCAACTCTAGTGAAACTGTTTTTTTTCCCTTCCTTCTGGTTGCTTAAAAGGAACTTTAAACAAAGCCAATGAGTTATATTGTAGTAATGGAAAACATCTTTACTGTTATA